TGGAGAAAATGAGCCTTTAATGGATGAAATTGGTTGGAAATTGTCGAAGTTATGACATTTTTTTGTAAAATCATGGAAATTGAATATTCCAAGATTGGCCGTTGTCCCGCTCCTAGGTTCATGCACCACTTCCAGTAAGCCTTTCTGCGGACGTGTACGCATACGGTGCATTTCACTAACACTACCAGCTGTCACGCAAAATTAAATGGGATATTTTCAACAATATAATTTACGCTAGTGTTTGTGAGACCGCTCTGCGAGAACCTAACGCAACCAACTCAATTTGACAGCTTTCTTTCTTTAACATTGCTTAACGATGTATACGACAAAACGTGAATTCAAGTGTAAAAATGATCCTCAAAAGTTTTGTTACGCGTGTGGCAACTATATATTTACAAAATCGGTCAATTTCACTGCTTCGTTGCAAACTGCATACAGGCTTTATTTTAAAATTGATCCTGGAGACTTTGACGAACCGTGGATTCCAAAAGTATTATGTAGTTCGTGCAAAACGTGCTTGGCTAGGTGGATGTCAGGCGCAAGGTAAATTGATTTTTTGAATAACTTTCATATAAAAAAATTATGTACAGCATGGTAGTGCTTTGTTTTTCCTGATCGACATTATCTTACTTCATCTATTTTTGATAAGTGTTAATGTCTTACTTACTAACTCACTTATTTGTTATCTGTCAGTCGCTATTTGTCCTTTGACATGCCCACCATATGGCGTCAACCGTTTTGTCATGCAACGGATTGTTATTTCTGCTTGACAAAAGTTAAGCAACAAGGACGTCACAAAACAGTTGAGTATCCACAAGTGGCTTCTATGACAAAACCTGTTCCACATTCAAGTTCGGTCCCGTATCCTGTTTATCCAAAGCGGAAACGAGCGCCCTCTGTTGAATCGACCGTTACAAAAAGTGAGGAGGAATTCAAGGAGGAATGCGAGGAAGACTTCGAGGTGGAATTGGAAAGAAACCCAAAACTGTTTACACAATCCGAATTTAATGATTTGGTGAGAGATCTTGACTTATCGAAGGAGAAATCCGAATTGCTGGCATCACGCTTTAAAGAACACAACATGCAACACAATTTGACAAATATTATTCTACAAAGGACAAGGCATGTTTGAAGAGTTTGGTGAGCCATATGATCCAGTTGAATGGCGTTTATTCATCGATAGCAGTAAGTTGAGCTTGAAATCCGTTTTACTGCATCAAGGGAATGAGAAACCTTTTATTCCATTAGCTCATGCCATTAATATGAAGGAAACGTATGAATCAATGGCTCTATTGCTCAATTTGATAAATTACAATCAACACAATTGGAAAATTTGTTCCGATCTTAAAGTGGTTGCCATGTTGACTGGATTGCAACAGGGATACACAAAATATATGTGTTTTTTGTGTAAATGGGACAGTCGAGCTCGTAAGGAACACTACGTCCGAAAAGATTGGCCAAAACGGGATAATTTCACAATTGGTAAAGACAACGTTAAAAATGATCCTCTTGTGGTAAAAGAACGCATAATACTTCCACCACTACATATAAAACTTGGGCTATTCAAAAATTTCGTCAAAGCGTTGCAAAAAGAAGGGCCGGCATTCCAGTACTTGAAATCAGTATTTCCAAATTTATCTGACGCAAAGATAAAGGAAGGTGTATTTGTTGGCCCACAGATCAAAAAACTGCTCAAGGATTCCGCATTCAATACAGTTTTGACACCAGATGAGGAAGAAGCGTGGAAATCGTTCCAGCGTGTTGTCACAACCTTTTTAGGAAATTTCAGAAGCCCAGATTATAAGGAAGCCGTCGATGAATTGCTCAAAAATTATGAGAAAATAGGTATAAATCAAAAATATTGTGTTTGTTACATATAATTAATTTCAAATCCTTTTATTTCACTGAACACAGGTGTGAATATGTCTTTGAAGATACATTTCCTACATTCTCACATGGATTTTTTCCCGGAAAATCTTGGTGACGAGAGTGATGAGCACGGCGAACGTTTTCACCAACAAATGAAGATGATGGAACGTCGTTACCAAGGGTTTTGGGATGAAGCAATGATGGGTGACTATTGTTGGTTTCTGATTCGAGAAACAAGTTCAAAACATCGAAGACAAAGTCATTCTATTCTCAATCATTTTTAATAAAACCTAAATAAATTTCTTTTGTATCAACTCGGTTTTAAATCCTGATATGCCTTAATCAAATTGATATGTAGAGAAAAGAATCTCCCATGAAAACTTTACATGCGATTTGGATGCTTACAACGACACCTAGAAAAGGAACTCTAAAGCTGTTGTATTTCAGCAACATTTTTAAGTGTTTTACAAAAATGCTCATAACTTCGACAATTTCCAACCGATTTCATCCATTAAAGGCTCATTTTCTCCGGTTTTGAATGGACTTTAAGAATAAATTATGGAATGATTTTTTGAATCTTTTTATCCCATTAAAAATGTTGATTAAAACAAGATTTTTATGGAAAATTCGCAGGAAAAATAAAAAAAAATGCTGTAAATTTTTAAATGACTTCAAAATTAAATTTTTAATTAAGACATATTTAGCTTCATTTTCATAAAAAAAGATTTAAAATTGGTGCACTAGTTCCAAAGATATTGACATTTTAGTAATCGTACTTTTGTCCAAAATTCAAAAAATTAAAATTTTTGTATATTTGTCTCAATAATGGCTCTACTTTAATTTTTTCTGACCACGGCATTGAATTCAGCGTAGGATTTTGCATTGGAAATGATCATCACCTTACCGAGTTCAAAAATGCTGTAAACTAGTGTAATAGGAACCATCCTAGAATTCATTGTCATAAAAATGAGGGCTTAACTATAAAGAACAACTTTGTTGAAGAGACTTTTAGTCTAAAGTTTCAATTTCAGGCTCAAAACATATCATTCCACCTAAATCTGCATTCTGTACCACTGTGCACTGTTACGGATGTTCCGGAATTTCCGATGAACTATCCCGTAGTACCCAGAGTCCATATTCCGGTCACAACTCCTAATTAATTCTGATGAGACGTCTATGAGTGTTCATCAGTTTCATAAATTAGCCACTTTTACGGATATTTCGGATCTTCCGGTGGTCCCCAGGGTCCATATTCCTGTTACAACTCCGAATTCATTCTGATGAGACACCTATGCGTAGTTTCGAAAAAACTGCGGAGCTCTGTGATCAGTTTCATGAATTGATCAATTTAACGGATTTCCTGACCTTTGGGTAGACCACCCAGTGATTCCTTTCGTCCATATTCCAGACACAACTTCGAATTCATTCTGATAAGACGTCTATACGTGGTTTCAACAAAAAAAAATCGTCGAACCAAGATGTTCAACACCAGGGGAGGAGCAGTTACCACCAAGGCACGGTACACCAGCATAGAGAAATGTCGCGACCCATTGCACCGAGCCACGGACACATTTTCTGCAGAAGTCAGCACCAAGGTTTGGTAGTTGCTAGAAACAAAGTCCAGAAAATGAATCGAATGTAGAAATAAAGCAGTTTAAGTTTGAACTCTAATCGGAACAGTTTAGTTTATTAAATGGCTCTTCGAACGCCTTCGATATAACTTATACTTTTTGAGATACATATTTAAGTTTTGAACACTATATTTGAATTTTTACTCAAAACTACAAAAAAAAATACCATGCATGTTTTCTTAGAAATGCTTTATTTTTCTCAACAACTTTGTCTCAGACGTCATTTCGATCAGAAGTGACGTTTCCGTGCTACAACTTTTGAAAAATGGCTTGAACGCCATTTTGAAAAAAGAATACATCATCCAAAATAGCCGATTTTTTGTAAAAAATGTGAATGTTTGCCCATTACACATAATTATTTAAAACTTACGTACGTAGGTACTTGGAATCGTAAAACAAATTCAAAAAGGTCGGAGGACTGAGGATGGAGGGATGCAATCAAAAAAAAAATCGCGCTAATTGTCACATAGTTGTTCATGAGGTTTTATCAATAATGTAATTTGATATAACACCAAGATAATAGTGATAAAGAAATCCAAACAAAAACGCCCGAATCATTCACACCATCGCAACCATCCTCCAAGTTCATGATCAGTCACACGCACATCAAACAGCACTACCACCAACGAACACCATCTCCAGTTCCCACCTCTTATCAGAAATTCACCCAAACGAGGTCGAGCTGAATGGACAATCCTGTGTGACTGTAAACCACCCGACAGACCAGCGCCGGCAGCAGCTCAGCTAGCGGTGGGTGCACTGAAAACATCCAGCACGACGGTGTAACCGGTTCGGAGCAGTTTCCGGCGAGTGGATTGCGCGATAACACTTCATCCGCCTGATAATTTACAACATAAACAATTCCATTGCGGACTATGACAGAACCTTTGGGCTGTGCCTTTTCTCTGGTCTACCACAGAGAATCCAACTGATAACGCAACGAAACCCTGGTTTTGGAATCACGTATCGAAATTGTGATGCCAATTCTCGGTGCGATGTCTTTCGCTTCTTCTATTTCTAGCGAAACCCAACTTTCTATTTTCGGTTTCAGTGACCTCAGACCACACGTGGACGACCTCCAAGCGGGAACAGAACCTCTTCTATTTCAGCTTCCAGAACTAATCCACGAAGCAACATACGACTGGCTGCAACAGCACTGCGAGCTTATACCTACTTCGGGCCTTCACTGTTGATAAGATTGCAAAACTGACGCAAACCGGATTGAACATTTCTTGTTGGGGGGTAAAGCGGTGTTGCTACAGCAAAATAAGAATATTTCAACCACCAGCCGGTCGGTACATTGTTTGTTTGTAAGTACGTATCTACCGCATGTAGGGACGCAGATAGGACTGCCCGAAAACTCATGCTTCATTCGTCTGAACGATACAACAGGTGGTCAAAATCGATCGAGTTGTTGCTAACCGGCAATGCACTCAACTTAGCAACCTTAGAAATGTGGTGGTTATTGACAAGCGGTAACAAATGAATTCAAATTTTCAAATGGCACAAGCAAGTCAAGGATCTGAGAAAATTGCTGGAAAATCCATGATGTCCAAGCCTATTAGAAGTTCTTCCTGTACAATTCCTTCGGAAATACTGGAGTTCGAGTAAGTTAACTAAATCTGAATATCGGTTGCGCTTATTGCATAATTATCTTCCTCAGTTATTCTTACGGATATGACTGCAAGCGTCCGTTCAACCTTTGCAAAATCGACGATGACGTGCTGGTGTTTGCTTCCGGAAATCTAATTCACTTCTTCGATGTGGCAAATCAAACCGTTACCACTAGGCGAAGCTCAACCGGAGGTGGCATTGGATGTATTCAAACCAATCCCAATCCGGAGCTGTGCCACTTGACGGTGGGAGAGAATGGGACCAATCCGCCGATAATTATTTACCAGTATCCGGAAATGAGCGTCGTGAACATCCTGCACAACGGAACCACCCAAGCTTACAGCCGAGTAGATTACAGTGCCGATGGAGAGCTACTGGTTTCTCAGGGATGCGATCCGGACTACATGCTGACCGTGTGGAACTGGCGAGAGGCGGAAATTATTCTAAGATGCAAATCGTTTTCGAACGATGTGACAAACGTAATGTTTTCACCGTCGGTTGCTGGGCATCTCACTTCCTGCGGTAAGTACCACATATTGCACGTTACTTTCACGTGTTTCTTCCTTCAATTTGGTAAGCAATGCTCGCTCCCTAACTCGATCTATTCCTTACTCGATACCTTCCATTGCTCGATGTGTTTTGATTATTTTTTGTCATGCATTTTCACGTTCCAAAGTAGATTTAATTTGTTTTAGATTATTTTAGCTAAAGCCTTAGCAGAAAAATTGATCATTGAGATGCACAGAGTGGCCAGTGATTTTAAAATTCCCGGTATTGTTCCCGGTTGGTAATAGTCAGCAAAAAACGAACGTTTTTAAATGATCATATTTTTTAAAAACATGATCAAACAGAAAGTAATTTGTGAGAAAATTTTCTTTAATATTAGCAAATCTAGAGAAAAGTAGAAACTATAATTTAACTAAATACATAGGTCACTTGATATATTCAAAAACTAACTATCAATCTTTATGTTTTGATTTATTATGAACATTTTGCAGTCATCCGCCAATTATGGGAAACATAATAATTGTTATAAATCAATCAGTTCAGCGTATTAGTCAACTGGAAGTGATCCTTGACAATTAGAAACAAATAGTTGTGGACGCACGTATTTTTTTTAATTGAAAACTTATCAAGAATTAGGCCGCTACCAGGGGCGTGAAACCGAATGCAAGGAATAATATCAATAATAGGAATTATTTGGTATAGAATGCTAAGCGTGCCTCTTCGCTCTCAGCATGGCAGCGGAATTATGCTCAAGTTGAGCAGCTCAACCAATGTAAAATTAGAACCAATTCCTGATCGATTGGAGGTTGTTTCATCTAGGGCCGATACCATAGTGAGAGCGAAGAGTGGGGAATAGGCGAGCGAAGCGTTGAAACGAATATAATAATATCATGTTTTGGGAATTTTCATTAATAATATTTAGAGATGAACTAGCCTAAGGCTAAAAATCTCTTTAATAAAGAATTAAAAAAAATAATAATAATAATATTCGCTTCACTCGCCCCTTAGCTTCTTTTCGATCTCGGTCAAGTTATGACGAAATGGGAGCAGCTTGAGTACGCATGGGTTAAAGTCGACACCTCATTTGTTTTCAAAGCTTCAGAATTTACTAATGGTTTTTTGGGAGGTCACTGGCTGAATTCTCCATTAGTTTAAATTGTAACGAGTGAAAGCTTTAATTGACAATTGCTTAAGAAATCTTAAACTTAAGGTCTAAGGAAAATTGTGGCAAATTTTAGGCACGAAAAGATTTATGAAATTATCTTTAATTCTGAGGCTTTAACATTTATTAAGAGTCTTAGACTAAGACATTTCTTCAAAATGTATTACTTATACAAATGATCCTGATCCTAGATTTTAGAAGAACAAAAATCGATTCGGTTATTTTTTTTACAATCTGGGACTGAGAAAAAACCTCAACATGTGACATTTTACTCTGCTGGGGCCAATGCGCAAAACAGTCAGATTCAATGAGTCATTTTCATATGAATATGAACAACCATCCGCCTCATTATTCACTGCCTCGTGAGAGTCTGAATGATTGGGAAGTAAACGAGTTACTAACAGCAGAGCACTCAGTCAGTAGCTCAGTTAGCACATTTAATTTTCCGTGATGGTACCCAATCCTTGTTTTGAATGACTGAGCGTACATTTTCTATGGGAAAATGCCTGCTGCGTGAGCGAAGGCAAGCGGTATGAGTCGCCTGTTTGTGAGTGACTGAATGTTTTTGTAGGCTCAAGGGAAGGGAATTCCGGAGTTAAATATTAAAGGAATAGTATTCGGATTATAATTTAAAAAAGAAGGCAAATTTTAAAGAAATTCTTAGGAAAGTTTCAAGAACATTCTAAGGGCTTTCTGAGGAGAATTCCAAGATATTTCTGAAGACACTTCTGATACATTTCTGAGAAGAGATTTTCCTAAAGTTCAAAGGAAATTTTGAGAAGAATTTAAAAGATGGTAAAATCTCAGGGTAGATTCAATGTTTTTTTTTTAATCTTTATTTAAGAGACTTTTAGCCATAGGCTAGTTCATCTCTAGGTAGATTCAATGTAATTCTAAGCAGAATTCCATGGAAATTCTTAGGAGAGTTTCCACTGGCGTGCACAGGGTGGGGCAAGGTGGGGCTATTGCCCTACCTTTTATAAATAAGATTTTAATTTTCACATTTACATGATAACAAATATCTAGATTTCTTGATAACTTGAATTAAATGTAAAATTGAAACCCTATTATTGCGTCAATTCCTTTGAGATGGTGCCTGAAAATTGCATGAAGGGACGAACTTCAATGAAATTTTTTGGTCGAAAAATTGCACCACATTGGTGAATACAAAAAAATTCTGGTGTATTTTTTTTTTTCAAGGTTGATCATGGAGGGTTAAAAGAAAATGATAAATTTTACAGTTAAAACAATTCACCTTCGTGGTGGTAAATCGAAGAAAAAGCTTTTTATTGAATATTTCTGGTGCAACAATATCATGAAGGGACTAATCAAAATGAATAACTTTGGTTCTAAAATTGAATTGCGCTAAAAATTTGGAGGTGCACATTTAACCGAAAATGTCTGGTGCAAAGTTCGCTACACTGTGGTGAATGTAGAAGCAAGGTTTATTAATTTTGCTGGTGCATAATTTGCATCGTTCTGATGAATGCAAGCTTCATTGGAAATTTATGGTGGAAAATTTGCACCATTCTGCATGAAGAGGAAAAGGTGAAACAAACTTCACTGACAATTTTTGGTGCACCGTTCTGGTGAATGGAGGAGCATGTTCTATTGAAAATTTCTGGTGCAAAATTTGCAGCGCTCTGATAAATGAAATGAATAGAAAATTTCTGGTGGAAAACTTGCACTAGTCTGGTAAATGAAGGCACAAGCTTTATTTGAAATTAAACTAAATTCAAAACTTTTGGTGGAAAATCTACACCGTTCTGGTGAACGGATGGGCAAGCTTTTCGGACAATTTTTGGTCTTAAATTTTCTGAATAGAGAAACAAATTTTAATAGTAATTTCTGGTGTAAAATTTGCACCATTCTGATGATTGGAGGGAAGCTACTTTTAATCAAAATGTATGATGAAAAATATGGAAATAGGGGCAAGGTTTATTTGAAAATGTCTGGTGGAAAATGGAAAAAGGAAATCGGCACCAATCAGAAGATTGGAGAAGCAATTTTAATTGACCATTAACGGTTGAAAATTTGCATCGTTCTCGTCAATTCAAATTTTCTGGTGTTAAATTTTCTGGAGGCAAGTTTGTATTGAAAATTTCTGGTGTATAATTTGCAACATTCTGCTGCATGGAGGGGCAAGCTGAATTGAAAATTCCTGATCTAAAAATTGCACAGTTCTGGTGAATAGAGGGGTAAGCCTTATTGAACATTTCTGGTAGAAAAAACTACAACGTTTTGGTGAATGGACGGACAAATTTAACTTGATTTCCGAGAAGAACCTAAAGGGTATTGAATTCTGAGGACAGTTCCAAAAGAAAAAAATTCTGGGGATGATTTCATGAAAATTCTGCGAATAATTTCTAGTGAATCCTGCAGATAGTTCCAAGATAATTTCGAAAAGAATACCGAGAAAATCAAATTTTGGATGAAATTCCAAAGGGATTTTGAGGAAAAAGTCAAGGGAATTCCGAGGATAATTCCAAGCTAATTCTGGGAAGAATTTATGGAGAATACAGAGGAAATTCTTCTGTAGCTTCAGGGGAATTTCAGTTCCAATGTGTTCTAAGAAAAAAAAAGTTCCAAAATATTCCGAGAAAAACCTCAAGGATATTGAATTCTTAGGACAGTTACAAAATATATCTGGGGAGAATTCAAAGAAAATTCTGCGGAAAATTTCTAGTGCAACCTGCAGATCGTTCCAAAATAATTTCGAATAGAATACCGAGAAAATCAAATTTTGAGTGAAATTCCAAAGGGATTTTAAGCAAAATTTCAAGCGAATTCCGAGCTCATTCTAGCTCATTCCGGGAAAAATTTCAGAAACTCTTAAGGAATTTTAGTTCCAAGGTGTTCTGAGAAAAAATATGAAGAGTTCTAAATATAGTTCCAGTGGACTTCTGAGAAGAATTTCAATATAGCTCTTAGGAGAGTTCTAAAAAAATCCGAGAAGAACCTCAAGGATATTGAATTCTGAGGACAGTTCCAAAGGATTTATGGGGAGTATTCCAAGAAAATTCTGCAAATATTTTTTAGTGAATCCTACAGATAGTTCCAAGATAATTCTGAAAAGAATACCGCAAAAATTAAATTTTGAGTGAATTCTAAAGGGATTTTGAGGAAAATTTCAAGGGAGTACCGATAATTTCTAGCTCATTCCGTGAATAATTTCTGGATAATACTGAGGAAATTCTTCTGAAACTCTAAGGGAATTTCAGTTCCAAGATGTTCTGAGTAAAAGTCAAGAAGAGTTCTAAAAATAATTCCAGAGGACTTCTGAGAAGAATTTCAAAACAACTCATAGAGTTCAAAAATTTCGAAAAAAAAACCTCAAGGAATTCTGAGGTTTCGTCATTCGTCATTCCGTTAACAATCCTGTACCCGCTTGTCAAAACAGTTTTGTGCGCATTTGTTTGAATCGTTATATATTTTTTAAACCTTTTTAATGATCTTGGCAAAATTTAAAAAATAGAACTTATTTCCATTGGCTGTCTGAAAGCAGTTTGCATTGAAGAAGATGAACCACCACCGGAGCAAAAAATAAATAAAATTAGCTAAATTGAACAGTAGAAAAACAATGGTGGGTGGACAGCACCATCCACCATGCACTTTGGAGTACTCCCCCATGCTCAAATTAAATGCATCAAAGAAAAAAATTGCCCCTACTTAACAAGATTCCTGTGCACGCTAGTTGTTTCAATTGAATTTCAATGTGAATTCCATGGTTTGGGAGCTTCAGTATAATAATAGGTGATCAACTAGAAGCCTTGAAAACATATCCAGACGACTTTATGGAGATCTTAAAGCACATGAACATATGAGAGAAAATCTAAGAGATGCGATATGGATT